TGAAGTTATGGTCAGGATGAGTTTAGTGTTAGAGTTAGTTGTTAGAGTTTTGTTTTAAATTAAGTTTAGATTTAACATTATGGCTAAGGTTTCTATTAGAGCTAGGGTTTAGGTTATGTGCAGGGTTTAGGTGTAAGATTCGGTTTAGGTTAATGCATTACTGTTCTGGTTTTGTGATTAGGATGTTGTGGAATGCTATCTACAGTAATGAATTTGGCAGTGTCCGTTTCAATTTTGAATATTTGGTGACTTCTGGGCACTAGTTCTTTTATGGAATTAGTTCTTACTACTTAGGTCTCAACTTTATGAATTTGTACTTAGATCTTTGTAATTTCTTTCATCTAACAGTTTGGATTTGGATGGTCCTTGATTTTAGGACCTCAAGGTGCATAATGATGTCATTTATTGAGATTACTCTATTTTTCTATTTTTTACTTTTATGTTTTGTCTTTTTGAGACAAGGTCTTGTTAGGCAGTTCAGGCTGGCCTTTAACTCACGTTGTAGACCAGCCTGGTCTCGAACTTACAACAATCCTCCTGCCTCAACCTCTCAAGTGCTGGGATTACAGGGGTGTACCACCACACCCTCATTTTTTAATGTAAGCATTCACAGCTATAAAATTCTCTCTTTAAACTGCTTTCATGGTGTCCCATGTGTTTGGTATGTTGTAGTTCCATTATCATTAGATTGTAGGAGATTTTAAATTTTTCTTTGATATCTTCTGGGACCACATAGTTGTTCAAGAGTGATGATTTAATCTTCGTGTGTTTGCATAATTTCTGTGGTCTCTTTTGCTGTTAGTTGGCGCTTTTAGTCTACTCTTATCTGTTAATACACAGGCCATTCTTTTAGCTCATGTGTACCAGTTTAACTATGTTTTATAGCCTCAGACAGGGTGTGTGTTTGGGAAAGTTCTGTGTGCTGCTGAGGAAAATGTGTATTCCGTTTTTAGATGAACCATGGTGTAGCTATCTGTTATGTCCATTTTTTTGATGATGTTGGGCTGAGTTGGCATTGTTCTTCTGTCTCCTGTTTTTCTTAGGTCACCATTCTCAGAACAGAAATGAATGGATGTGACCATGTTCTACTAAGACTCTACAGGTAAAAGCATGTGCCAGATTTCACTTGTGGCTGTTGTGTTTGGGGTACGACATACAGGTACTAACTTGTGAGATAACTCAGAGTCCAGGAGAACAGTGACTGTGTACTTTAGAACCTGGGTTGTAACTGAGTTCTTGCTTCCTCCCTTGCAAAGGGGCCAGAGCAACCTGCTTAATCTCTCTGGATCTGTCTCTACAGAAGAGAAGGCTCCAATCAAGGGCATCAAATGAGAAGCGTGCAGAGTTCATCTCAATCCTTGGGCTTTGATCCGAGAAAGGCCAGCTTTGGGTGCTCAGCACGCTTACAGGCCCAGCCACAGGATGGCGCTGTGGAGCGACAGTGCTGCAAAGTTTGTGGTA